TGTAAACATGTCTGTTCTACACTACTCCTTAACATGAAGAATTAATCAAGACAACTTCATACAAATCAAAATATAAATAAACAAGACATCTAATTAACCATTCATAAATTCAAACTTGAGTTCCATTGAATCAGACTACAAAGAACTCTACTCAGACATAATTGAAATATAAACAAAGGAAGAAGAAAGATCAAACTCCATTGTCATGATAGTAAGTCTTCAATCTTCAAGTGCAATTACATAGGAAACTAACTAATACAAGAACTAAGTCCTAAAGAAATTTGGAAGTTCCGAGAGAATGAGGAGTTAGATCAGATCTATGAAAGATCTGATCTGATCTCCCCTCTCCTAGTGTTAGAGATGATAGAATTAGAGATATGAGATATGATAGATGGGATGAAATGTCAGAATGTGAAGGCCCTTGCCTTTTATAGAGTTACAGAATACAACTGAAAACTACCATGGGCGCTAAAACGTTCATTGATGGGCGTTTTAGCGTCCATGTTTGACGGATGCCTAACTGCTTTTAACTGATTCCAACGCTAAAACCTTTTACTTGGACGTTTTAGCGTTCAAGACCAAAGTCTTTTCCCACATCAGAGCGCTAAAATGTTTGATCAGGAGGTTTTAGCGCCCAAGACCAGAAACTTTTCCAGTAGCAGCGCGCTAAAACGTCAGTGTTGGACGTTTTAGCGCTCGGCACCAGCAACTTTTGCCTTCAGTTTGCAGCAGCGCGCTAAAACGTTCTGTGTGGACGTTTTAGCGCTCAACACTTGAGCATTCTCCCTTTCTTCAAAATTTTCTTCTTTCTCTCTGTTGCTTCTTGAGCTTCATTTTCCTACAAGAACAATGTAAATTTTCAACATAAGCTTCAGAACTTGTATTTAGGACTTTCTAGGACATTAACCCTCTTTTCCATCTATTTAATCACATAAATTAAGCTAATTCATGCTTTAAAACCTTATAAACCAAGGGTTTATCATGTGCTTCTCAACGGATGACACTCCATGTCCCTATGTCAACTGGAACTCCCTCATGGAGACCTATCTAGTTGAAGTCCGTAATGCCCGAACTCTAGATTTTCACTAATCCTACCCCTTATTCCATATTTTACATATAATTATATGATTTAGAAATATGAGGTGTTATAGCATGAGTCTATGTGATGTTCCTGTATTGCTTGTTCCTAAGAAAGATGGTTCTTGGAGGATGTGCGTTGACTGTCGTACCATCAACAATATCACTGTAAAGTATAGACATCATATTTCCTAGAATTGATGATATGCTAGATGAGTTTCATGGTGCATGTGTTTTTACTAAAATTGATCTTAGGAGTGAATATCATCAAATCAGAATGAAAGAAGGTGATGAATGGACATCTCATTGCTTGGTTGTATGAATGGTTGGTTATGCCATTTGGTTTAACTAATGCACCCAGCACCTTTATGAGGTTGATGAATCATGTTTTGCGTGCATTCCTTGGAAAATTTATGGTTGTATATTTTGATGACATTCTGATTTATAGCACAAACTTAGCATGTTACGCATTTAAAACTTGTTTTGAATGTTTTGAGGAAGGAGAAGTTGTTTGCTAATGTAAAAAAATGTTCTTTAACCCCCAAGGGTAGCTCAGTTGGCAGCTGAGCTCCCAAGGGATTGCTTGGTGCAGGGATCAAACCCTGCCTCAAGCAGTTTCTTGGAAAATCTTTGGGGGCCAGAGGATAAGCCAAAAAATCTTCGGTTGGGGGATTAGTCTCGTCCTTTCTCCGGTTGCGAAGCTTAGTGCATCCACTGTTACAATGAGGGGCTAGCCCAAACGGGCCGTACCCCGAGGGCATGGTTCCCGGAGAAGGTTGAATGGGGATACCTCCTGGCAATGTACCAAAAAAAAATGTTCTTTTGTACTAACAAGCTTGTGTTCCTTGGTTTTGCTGTTAGTTCTAAAGGGATTGAGGTGGATGAAGAAACGGTAACAACAATTTGAGATTGGCCTAGTCCTACTTGTGTGAATGAAGTTCAAAGTTTTCATGGGCTTACTAATTTTTATAGACGGTTTGTGAAGAACTTTAGTAGCCTAGCAACATCATTGACTGAGATTATTAAGAAAAATGTGGGTTTTAAGTGGGGTGATGAACAAGAAAAGACATTTAATCTGATTAAGGAAAAATTAACCAATGATCATTTTCTTGCTTTGCCTAACTTTACTAATACTTTTGAAATTGAGTATGATGCCTCAGGAATAGGTATTGGAGCTGTTCTAAAGCAAGAAGGACGTCTCATTGCCTTCTTTAGTGAAAAGCTAAGTACTTTACATTACCCTACATATGACAAGTAGTTGTATGTACTGGTCAGGTCTTTGGAAACATGGCAACACTATCATTGGCCAAAGGAGTTTGTGGTTCACACAGATCATGAATCCTTAAAGCATTTGAGGGGCCAACACAAGTTGAACAAGAGACATGCCAAATGGATGGATTCATTTAAACATTTCCTTATGTGATTAAGTACAAGAAGGGTAAGAAAAACGTTGTGGCTGATGAATTATCCCGAAGGTATGCTCTACTTTCCACTTTAACTGCAAGATTGCTTGGATTTGAGTACATTAAGTACTTGTATGTTGATGATCTTGACTTTGGTAATGTATTCAAAGCATCTGAGAAAACTACATTTGGAAAGTTCTTTAGACATGAGGGATACTTGTTTAGAAAGAAACAATTGTGTATGCCTAAAAGTTCATTATGTGAGTAGCTTGTTAAAGAAGCTCATGGGGGAGGTTTGATGGGACATTTTGGAGTGTCTAAAACCTTAGATGTTCTGCATAACATTTTTTTTGGCACCATATGAAACATGATGTGGAGAGAGTTTGTGAGGATGCATTACTTGTAAACAAGCTAAATCTAAAGTTAAGCCTCATGGGTTGTATATTTCTGTGCCTATACCTAATGAACCTTGGGTAGATATATCCATGGGTTGTTGATAGATTTTCAAAAATGGCACATTTCATTTCGTGTCATAAATCCAAGGATGCATCACATATCTCTGACTTGTTTTTCAAAGAAATTGTAAGATTACATGGTATTTCCCAAAAGTATTATTTCTGATCGAGATTGAAAGTTCGTAAGTTATTTTTGGAAAACTTTGTGGGGTAAATTAGGAACAAAACTTTTGTTTTCTACTACTTGTCACCCACAAACAGATGGAAAAACAGAGGTGGTTAATGGGACCTTATCTGCATTGTTGCGTTCTTTGATTCAAAAGAATTTGAAATCATGGGAAGAATGTCTGCCAGATGCTGAATTTGCATATAATAGGACAATCCATTCAACATCTAAGTTTTCACCATTTGAAATTGTGTATGGTTTAATCCATTATCTCCTATGGATTTAACTCCTTTACCAGTAAGTGAACATGTTAACTTAGATGGAAAGAAGAAGGCTGAACTTGTTAACCAGATTCATGAAAAAGCTTAACACATCGAGAGGAAAACTGAACAATATGCCAACTAAGCCAATAAAGGGCGCAAGAAAGTAGTTTTTGAACCCGGAGATTGAGTTTGGCTACATATGAGAAAGGAAAGATTTCCAGTCCAAAGATGTTCCAAACTGCTTCAAAGGGGTGATGGACCATTTCAAGTGATTAAAAGGATAAATGATAATGCCTACAAGCTTGACCTTCCAAGTGAGTACAATGTTAGTGCAACATTTAATCTTTTTGATTTATCTCCTTTTGATGTAGGTGTAGATTTGAGGACAAATTCTTTTGAAGAGGGAGGGAATGATAAGAATAACGAGACAACACCTAGTGATCCATTGCAATTGCCAAATGGGCCAATCACAAGATCAAGGGCCAAGAAGTTTAAAGAAGCTCTTAGTGGGTTGATCCAGTAAATGTGGGCTAATCATGAAGACATCAAGTCCAAATTTATTCATAATCAGAATTTAGTTAATGTCATCAATGCAAGGAAGGTTGAGTGGAATGAGTAACAATTTCCAATGTCAATTAGTGCTTAGAGAGGCTGATAGCATTTTCAATGTTATTAATGTTTAGTGGGATTGATTAACATTTTCAATGCCATTATTATTTAGTGGGCTAATTAGAGTCTTTTTCTTTTTTCAAGTTGTTAACTTTAAATTAGTGTCTTTTCATTTGCTAGTCTTTCCCTATTCTCGGAGGGATGTTCCAAGTATAAATAAGGGAGGATATAACTCTTATAATCAGACTTTGAAGTTATAATATAATAGAGAGGTTTCTTCTCTTTGGTTCTTATCTAGAACTCTAAACTTATTAAGTAGCTTATTCTTGTGGCGTTAAAAACAGACTTATCACTCACCTTCTTTCTTGAGTGTGGCATCTTTATCCTTCTTATACCTTTGGTTCTTATCTTTCATAGATAACGGGTCAATGTTCTTTATTTCTTGTTTTAAATTCCTAATTGTAGAAACGATCCTAACTAAATTGGTCTTGGGTCTCACTATTCTTGGTGAGGTCCATATCAACAGGCTATGGTGCCTAGGTTATCATGTCCTCCCATACTGTCTTCCACGTAATGAAGCACATTCCTCACCTATAAATACCCCCACAAAGATACACATTGTTCTATTATTTCATGAGTTATTACTCCGTTCATTTGGAGAGTCACCATAGCCATTAAACACCTCCCCCACCACCGTTACACAACACATGGGAAGCTTCTCAAGGGCCTTGGTTCATACCCTTGTCATAAAGAGCACCCTATATTAAGATATATCTGGTTCTCTTGATCACCGGACAACTCAACTTCATTATCTGTCCTGATATCTAAGATGATTGTTATGCTACTACTTTGATATCTAATTATTGAATATGTAAAGAAAGTGACATAAGTTATAATTATTCATATGTTACTTTGTGCACAGACAATTGGAGATTCTTGAATGGAGTCTTATAATGAATGATTCGTAAGCTTGGAACAGGGTTAGGAATTTCCTTTTACTTGTTGAATTTCCTTCCTACACGGATCGTTACCAATAATCACCACAAGAACATAATCCATTTGAAAAGTGGTGAAATCTCTTTGAATCTCGAATCATGATAGTACGCTTCTCTATCAGCGAGACAAATTTTGCAGTGTTGTGACAATCACGGCATATTCTGAGATTCTTTATTATAACTAATGGCATATCAGCGCGACTAACCAAAAGTCCATATGCAAGAGCTATCTTCTCACTGTGCTTGTTAATCATATTTGTTTTTACCTCCTCGTCAACGTTATGGAGAACGGATTCGGTTTCAGACACAAAGCCAACCTCTTGAATTTTTCTCATAAGCTCTTCCAGCTTTTTATGTATTTTGTCTGAAATAGGGTGAGAATAATCATCCACCACAAAACGGTGGATTTTATTCCCATGCTCAATAAAACTGCATCCCGGGTTTTTAGTAAGAACTTTAGTCTTCATTAAAGCCCTCACTTTTGATGCATCACTCCACAGACCTGCAGCAGAATATATGTTGGAAAGCATGATATAGTTTCTAGGGTCTGACGGATCTAACGCAATCAAATTCTCTGCAGCTTCCTTCCCCGAATTAATGTTACCATAAATTCTACAAGCACCAAGAAGGGCACCCCAGACTCCAGAATTTGGCTCTAATGGCATGTTCTTAATCAGTTCATGAGCATCATTGAGACGACCACAGCGGCCAAGAAGATCAACCATACATGAATAATGTTCAATTCGGCGTTGAACTCTGTAAACATCGGACATGATTTGGAAGTAGTACTTACCTTCCTTGACAAGCCCGGAGTGGCTACAAGCACTTAATAAATGAGTAAAAGTAACATGATCAGGCTCCATACCTTCCCTTACTGTCCTTTGAAAGAATTCTATTGCTTCTTTTCCACGCCCATGCATGGCATAGCCTGCAAGCATTGCAGTCCAAGCCACTTTATCGGGCTTACTTATCTCGGCAAAGATCTTACGAGAAGCATTAAATCTCCCTAACTTTGAATACGAGTTCAAAAGGGTGGTCAGAATTTTTATATTTTCATTAAGACCACAGGTGAAGATCGCACCATGTATGGCCTCTACCAATCTTCCTAAAGGCAAATTTTCAGAGGCTCGAAGCAAGCTCACCATTGTGGCTTCATCAGGAAGAAGTGCATTCAACCTCATCATATTAAAATATTTAACAGCTTCATTAGGGATTCCATTTTGGGTGCAAACAGCCACCATTGAATTCCACGACACCATATTCTGCTCTGGCATTGCCCAAAACAGCTTGAATGCAGAGTCAACACAGCCAAACTTTCCATACATATTCATCAGAGCATTAACAACCTTCACCTCCAATTCCATACCCGATTTCAGTGTATAACAATGAAGATACTGACCTTCATCCTGGGCTTTCGCAGAAGCACAAGCAGAGATAACAGATATGAGCGTAAGCTCATTCAATTCCAATGCCAGTTCAGATTTCACTGTAGAAAACACACTCATGCAATCACCAAGGTGTGCCCTTTTCGAAAAACCAGATATCAAAGAATTCCAGGAGACAAAATCCTTCTTGGGCATTTCATCAAACAATTTCTGTGCTTCTGGGGTGGAGCCCAAGTTGAGGTAACATGATACCAACTGATCACCGATAAACCCATCCCTGTAATCCAGAGATTTGATCACTCGGGCATGAATGATCCTGCAGCAGGAGACAGAAGATGAAGATTTTAGAGCAATGAGTAGAGTAGACAGAAGAGCGTCACAACGGTACGAAGAAATGGCATGGAATTGAAGAGAGGTTTCAGAGAGAAGGGAACAACACGCAGGAGAAGAATGCAAGCGAGGAGGGAACAAGAATTCGAACTTGCGAGATTTTGGTGGATGTAGTGGTAACATGCCACCAATGAATTTTTCATGGAACCACCTAAACATCTTAGTTTCATGCAAGCCCTTTTAAGTTGGAAAATTTCTTATTAAGCATTTTGAATTGTCCATTAAATTAATGCATGGAATTCAAACGTTGAGCCTGGTAACAGGGGATATATAATGGAGCCTTAAAGGGTCTCCTAATAAGTTCGCGATACAAGATAGAGAAAAAAGAGAAAGGAGATTCAGATAGAAATTACTTATGTTGGTATTCAAAAAAAAAAAAAAAAAAAAATTACTTATGTTCATGAATTTATTTATTTATTTTTTTCATTTTGATACAATGATGTCATTATGACCTCAGGCAAGTTACTCAAAATTTTCATTCCTAGAACGATCCTATTTTCTTAATTACTTAGAATCTGAATCGATCCACATTAACAAGAATAAGGGAATGAATGAAAAAAAATCAGTTAAGTTTCTACACAAAGTGAGTTTAAATATGACATCACCAATCTAACTAACTAATCCTAAACTGAAGGAAAAAGCCCAGTACAAATAAGCCCAATTAACATATAAGCCCAGGCAGTAAATAAAGCTAACTAACTTGAAACATAAAACAGAATGCTAAATCAACACCCCCCTCAAGTTGGAAGGTGAATATCCTTAAACCCCAACTTGTCCATGAAGTCACGAAAATGAGTAGGATGAAGGGCTTTGGTAAACATGTCTGCAAGCTGTTGAGATGAGGCAATAGGTATCAAATGAATCAGTCCTTGTAGAATATGATGGCGTGTAACATGACAGTCAAGCTCTATGTGCTTGCTTCTTTCATGAAAAGAAGGATTATGGGTCAAATGAACTGCAGCATGATTGTCACAATAAAGCATAGCAGGACCAGAAACGGGAACACGAAGATCATGTAAGATATAGGTGAGCCATTGGATCTCACAAGTCAAAGAGGCTAAGGCACGGTATTCTGCTTCAGCGGAGGATCGACTCACAGTGGTTTGCTTCTTGGATTTCCAAGAGATCAAAGAGGTGCCAAGAAAGACACAAAACCCAGTAATAGAGCGACGATTATCAAAGCATGTGCCCAATCAGCATCACTGAAACCAGAAAGTGTAAGAGAGCTACTAGAAGAGAAGAATAACCCCTTGCCAGGAGACCCCTTTAGATATCTGAGTACTCGAATAGCAGCATCAAAATGAGCTATCATTGGGTTAGCCACAAATTGGCTAAGCTGTTGCACAGCAAAAGATATGTCCGGTCGAGTATTAGCAAGATACAATAGACGCCCCACAAGTCTACGATATGATGCAGGATCAGCACAAGGATCACCTTGATTCTGACATAAACGTAGGGTAGGCTCCATTGGTGTGGAGGCAGCCTTGGCCCCAAGCAAACCACTATCGGCAAGCAGTTCTAGAACATATTTCCGTTGATTAACAACAATTCCATGAGGTGACCGAGCTATTTCAAGACCAAGAAAAAATTTCAAAGGTCCTAAGTCTTTGATGCAGAACTATTGATCAAGGTGTTGTTTAACAGAATTGATCTCATCCATATTGTCACCAACCAGGACCATGTCATCAACATATACCAGTAATGCAGTAAAAGTACCATTGCTAACCTTGGTGAATAAGGAGTGATCAGCTGAAGATTGGGTGTATCCAAGGAGCAGAAGTTCAGTGGTGAGACGAGCATTCCACTGACGACTAGCTTGCTTAAGCCCATAGAGTGATTTTTGGAGTTTACATACTTGGTTTGGAGAGGGAGGAGAGACCCCATCTGGAACAGACATGTAAACTTCTTCTAGGAGGTCACCATGGAGAAAAGCGTTGTTAATATCAAGTTGTTCCATGAAAAAGCCACGAGCTGCAGCAACTGCTAATAGCAACCGAATAGTGGTTAGTTTTGCAACAGGGGAGAAGGTTTCAAAATAGTCTACACCTTCCATTTGATTATATCCCTTCGCAACAAGACGTGCCTTGTATCTAGAAATGGAGCCATCTTGATGATGTTTGATTTTGTAGACCCATTTAGAGCCAATTGGACGTTTACCATGAGGTAAATCTACAAAAGTCCAGGTTTGATTTTTGTTTAAAGCATGTATCTCTTCAGCCATGGCAGTAACCCATTCACTAGATTGTGATGCCTGTTTGTATGTGCGAGGTTCAATGAAAGAACTAATGTTGTGACAGAAAGATGAGTGTTCAACTGAACACTTGGTGTAAGAGAGCACTGAAGAAATTGGATGATCAGTAGAAACAACTGAATTGTTGCACAAGTAGTCTTGTAGATGTTTTGGTGGAATGCTTAACCTGTTGGACCTTCGGGGAACAGTAGGAAGTTGAGAGTGATCATCAGATAATATATTTGCAGGCATAGATATAGAAGAATCATCACTACTGTCATTGGTTGATCCATCATGTTGTGGTGTATCACACGGAGTAGGCGCACTATCAGATAAATGATCTGCTGCTGATAATGGCTAATGAGTAAGAGCTGGTGGAGATATAGGAGTGTCTCTACTGCTGCTGTGTGGTGCATCATATGTAACAGAAGACTCAATTACAAATGGTAAGCATTGAATATTACCTGAGTGTTCTGTAGATTGATCAGTTGAAAAAGGAAAGAAACCTTCATGGAAAATCACATTTCTTGAAAGGAAAATCTGCTTAGATAACACATCATACAATATGTATCCTTTTACTCCATCTTTGTGACCTAGATAGAGGCATTTCCTAGCTCTAGCATCAAATTTAAGACGCCCACTGACAGTGGTTGAGGCAAAAGCTAAACACCGAAATACTTTAAGATGAGTAAGTATTGGTGGCTTATTATATAGCAACTCATAGGGAGATTTGTTGTGCAAGACAGGTGAACTAAGCCGATTAATAAGATGTATGGCATGCATAATACAATATGACCACATACTCTTTGGAATATTACTTTGAAAAAGTAAGGCTCTGGCAATATTTAATATATGCTGATGCTTCCTCTCCACTGTTCCATTTTGCTGTGGAGTCAATGCATGTGGTTTGATGGACTATTCCTTTTTGAGCAAAAAACTCATTCATTAAGAATTCTTGCCCATTGTCACTTCGAAAAGTTTTGACAATAATACCAAACTGATTTTCAATGAGTGTAACAAAGGATCTAATGTGATTTCTGGTTTCAGCTTTAGATGTCATAAGTATGCCCCAAGTAAACCGTGTGTGATCATCTACTATAGTCAAAAGGTATCTATGCCCATGAATGGATGGAATCGAGTATGGCCCCCAAATATCAATATGAACTAAATCAAAAGCTGAACTTGAAATACTGGAACTAGTATTGAAAGGTAATTTCTTCTGTTTAGCTAAATGGCATATGTCACATGGATCATCTGTATCTTTACAAGAAATGAAAGGGTGTTGAGCTATCATGGCTCTTATTACAGACTTTGAGCAGTGTCCTAATCGAGAATGCCATATATCAATGGATGAAGACTGCATTGCTACTTTCTTATTCTGAGCAGTATTGCTCCATAGTCCTTCTCCCTTTGTGCCATCAGAATTGCTGCAATGTTGATTGAGGATATAGAGACCTCTCTCTAACTTAGCTGAACCAATCGTTAGCCTGGAAGGTATTTGCTGAATGATACATTGAAGATGCTGGAAAATCACAGTACAATTAGTGTCTTGAATCAATTTATTTATTGAAATCAAATTGACCTTGAATTCTTCAACATATAACACATTTGTCAATGTTAAAGTCTTGGAAAGAATAACAGTTCCAGAATGAAAAGATAACACCTGTTTTCCATTAGGTAGAGTGATAGCTATTGGTTCAATCTTTTGAATGTATGACAAATTGTCCATGGAATGAGTGATGTGATCGGTTGCTCCAGTATCTAAAATCCATTGAATTCTAGATTTACCTGAAGATGAATCAGTGGTCTCAGCATTGAGGACCTTAGCTTCTACCATGTTGCTGATATGAGAGGAACCTTGTTGCACAGATTGTTGTATCATTCCAAGGATGGTTTGATACTGATCCTTTGTGAAGGCTTCTTTAGAATCTGGTTGCAAAGCTGCATGATGGTGTGGAACAGTAGGATCATGATTCTGGTTTACATCAACCACATTGGCCTTGTGTGCTACATTTGGCCTATAATCAAAACTTGGCCTGTAATCAGTATTTCTCTGTTTGAAACCTGGTGGATAGCCATGCTTCTCAAAGCATGTCTCCACCGTATGACTTGTCCTTCCACAATAAGTACACAGTCTATTTGAACCTGTTCTCCCTCGACCAACATAGGATCCACGTCCTCTGCCACGTGCTTGATAAGGTTGTGATCGTCCTCTACCTTGATCAGCAGAATTGTAGAAAGTCTTTGGACCTTCAAAATTAAGAGAGTTACCTTCTAGTTGCAACTGTCTCTCTTGTTGTATGACCATCGAGAAAACTCGATTAATTGATGGCAAAGGATCCATCAACATAACCTGAGACCTTACATGACTGAATCGTTCATTTAATCCTTTAAGGAAGCGAATAGAGTAATCTCTTTCACGAATACTCCTAACCTTCAAAGCAATTGAACAACAAGGTTTAATGCATTTGCATGTTGGTGTTGGCTGTAACGCTTCAAGCTCATCCCATAGGATCTTGAGTCGTGTGTAGTAATCAGAGATGCTACTGTCTCCTTGATGCATCCTATAAATCTCATCCTGTAGATCTGAGATTTTGAAGATATCTGACTGAGAGAACCTCTCTCGGAGGTCGTTCCATACATCTGAGGCTCGATCCATCCATAAGATCGACTGTGAAATAGATTGAGTTATGGAGTGATGTAACCATGACAGCACCATGGTGTTACATCGTTCCCATGCAGCGAAATAAGGATCAGAAGGATCTGGAACAGAGATAGTTCCATTGACAAAAGAGAGTTTATTCTTCGATATTAAAGCCATTTTCATAGATCTGGCCCAATTGTGGTAGTTCTTTCCATCCATGAGTGAAGATACCAAAACTAAAGAAGGATTCTCATTAGGATGCACATAGTAATTGCTACCTGGATT